CTGAAACCTGGTCATTCATGCTCAGTGCTGAGTCCAGAAGTATACAAGAGGAGTGTAACCTCATCCCAGCACAGATGGGATCCTTATTCTCTGATCAGATTTCAATTGAGTATGAGCAGCTCTGTGTTGTCTGGATTAAGTTTCAGTTTTGTTTGTCCTCAACCAGTCTATTACTGACAACAGACACTGGTTTACTGCTAAGACAGTTTTCTTGGAATCAGATGGGAAAGGGAGAGAGAAAGAGAGAGAGAGAGAGAGAGTTGGGTGTCAACAGCAGACCCTATGAAGCACAAGAAGCAAAAAAAAGTTGGTGGCGGAAGGGGGAGCGAGAATAAAGTCCCGTTAAGGTTGTGAAGTCGAAGGCTTTCATGGCCGGCATCTATAGTTTTCTGTGAGTTTTTCAGGCTATATGGCCACATTCTGGAAGAATTTATTCCTGACGTTTCTCCTGTAACTGTGGCTGGCATCTTCAGAGGGTGGTGGCATAGAAGTGTGTGGAGTATATATACCTGTGGGACTCTTGTTTGGAAGGAAGTGTTTTATATATATGTATGTTAATGGTGGAGTTAGTTTGTCGGTTGTATTGTGCTGAATGGCACAGTCTGGAGGTGTGTTGTATGGAAGATATGCAAGGGGGATTTTTGTCTATTTAATTGGTCATCCATTGTCTGCCCACACAAATCCCCCTCACATATCCTCTATACAACACACCTCCAGACTGCACCATTCAGCACAAAACAACACACAACTAACCATTAACATATATTAAAAAACCACTTCCTCCCAAACAAGGGTCCCACAGGTATATTATACTCCACACACCTCCATGCCATTACCCTCTGAAGATGCCAGCTACAGTTGCAGGCAAAATATCAGGAATAAATTCTTCCAGAACATACCCACATAGCCTGAAAAACCCACAGAATTCTGTTAAGGTTGTTCAGAAGCTGGACAAAGAGGGGAAAGCTCCTGCTTCTGCCAGTCAATGTAAATTGCTGGCTCCTGGCCAATGAATTTTCATTTCTGCCCTTTGAAAATTTGGTATTTGCACAATAGCTAGTTACTGATATCATCCTGGGGGAGAGGATCAATCTTGCCCCTAAGCAATCACTTGAATGCAAAAATAAAAGGAAAAGAAGGGGGGAGAAGGTTGTGAAGTCATAATTCACATTCATCCTAAAGAAGTCTTTTTGTGTAACTGCAGGCATCATGATTATCTGTAAATCAGAGAAGCACTTCCTCATCAATAATGTCCTCTGTAAGCCATAGATAAGGTGCACTGTACCCTTATCAACACCTTAATTATACAAGCTCACAAAATACACAAGCTTCTATCACTGACTAAGCTCTTAAAACAATATATCATTTATTGTTATTGCTACCCTATTCCTTTGGCTTTAACTCTTCTATACCAACAACATTAATAGGATTTTTAAAAACTGAAACATCACCTAGATCCAATATGCGCCTGTATTTCAGACAAAATCAGACAAACATATTGGAGGGATGAATCTCAAGGAAGCAAGAAGAAGCATTTCAGTCTCAAGGCTATAATGAAAAGGAACTTTCTGTTACACATACCCAGCCTCCCAAGAATATTTGGGAGCTGCACTCTTACAGACGTAGGTTAGGGATCCTCTGGTCCTGGGCCTCCTGGGGCCCCAATCCAGGTAAGCCCCTATTTGAGTACATATCTTTGGTTGAGGAAGATATAGAAGAAAATTTATACACAGATGATAAAAGGCACTTCTGTCAACAGAGAAAAATAGTAAATTTTTCATATTAGTTCCTGAGATCATAAGGGACAATGCAAATAATTGTTTCAGAAGCCCCAATATATAGAATATATAGAATTCCATTTGCATGCATCAGAATCACAGCCATAATATTCAAGAGATACTACAGTGGAAAAATGAAAGCAATGAAGAATAATGAGGAACAATTTCTTTAAAAAAATAGGAAAATCTAGCAACCTCACCTTTAAAGAAATAAAGCCATGCAAAGCTAACATAAATACAGTCATCCCTCCATATCCATGGATTTTTTTTATCCACAGATTCAAGCATCCACAGCTTTTAAAAATATATTTAAAAATGCATAGATTCCAAAAAGCAAACCTTGATTTTTCTATTTTATATAAGGGACACCA